GTTGGATATGCGTGTCCACAGTTCTGGCTAGAAAGGAATTTACAGGAGAGAAATCAGAACACAGGGAAATAGAAACAAAATCAGTATGTTTCACCAACAGAGAATGGTGACAGGTGAATTTGGGCTGCAGTAGGGCCACTGAGAGTGGACTTTTACCCCAAAGCAGAGGGAGGTCCCTGACCTGACAGGAGCTGGGCTCCTCACCCACATCTGCTTCCCTGTTTCCTCACTCAGATAATGGATGTCTTTGYGCTGTCTGATGAGGAAAGCAAACCATCCTGTGCACATGTCTAGCWCCTGTGAAAGCCACTTTCTCCCTAACCTGTTTGATCATGATAGATGCTGTGAGCTTTATTGGCTTAAAGTCCTTTTAATTTGAATCGTATTAATCAAGCCATTGGATGAAGCCAACAAATGTAGAACTGCATCACAAATAAAGAGCCTCTCACAGAGCTAACATGTGTCTTTGCAGGGGGGCAGGAATGGTTTCCAGTTGCCTCCTTCAGCTGGAAATGCTTTCTGAGGGGGAGAAGTGAAAAAGTTGAGAGTGATTCTATATGGCAAAGAAGTGGAGAACTGTGTGCCAAGGGAGGTGCCAGAGACCAAGGGGCTTATTCTAGATCTGCCACTTCCCTCCTCCTCAGCAGGCTGGCATCTCTCTGCTGGCTCTTTCCTTTTGAGCCACAGCGCCCTTGGGACTCTGGCTGTGCTAGTGTCACACTCCCAGCAGGGAAGGCTGAACTAGTTCCCAAAAGAAAGGACACTGTACATGTAATGGCTGCAAGACCTTTATAGATGCAGTACGTGGTGTCCAGGAGAGTGCTGGATTCACCCAGCAAATATATCAGAAAACCACAGGTCTGAGCACTGAGCACAGCAAGGAATTATGTACAAAGCCTTCATCTGAGGGCATTTGGAACCCACCTCTGGCCCCCAAAAAGGTTTGGATTTAATGTTAATGAAGAGTGGGATGAACCCGAGTCTGCCCTCACTGGCTATTCAGTTCTTGTCTACTCACTTGGCAGTGTAAACACGGTCGAAGGAGGAGGATCCCTGCCGCTGCAGCCCCTTGCCATTGCAGTGTCTGCTTTCATGCTCCACTTTGTTAGCAAAAAAAGCTGTTAAAAAAACCACAGAGTATTCAGCCTGAGATGTCATCTGGAGATATCTCAGAAGCTGAGCTTCGTGGGCTCAGCTCTGTTCTCATGAGTGTCCATACTGGACAGATAGCAGGAGAAAATTCAGGTGCATGGAGGTGCATGGATATGGCCAGCGTGCTTGCTCTGTCACCCAAGTTTCACCAAACCCCTTGTGCAAGGGTGCAGTGCAATGACACTTCAGGCATTCCCACATGTGACTGGTGGCAGGCTCTCACCTCCAATGCCTGCTTCATCCAAACACTGCTCTTCAGGCAGCCCACACCCCTGCTGCAGAAGCACTGCCCTGACCCCATCCTTGAGCTCCCAGTGGAAAAAGAGCTTTCCAGTCGCAGCTGCCAACCCCAAACCTTGCCCTCCAGCAGAGCAGGGAGACAAAGCAGTCTATTCTCTTTCAGTGACACCCACTTGCCAAACCAAGGACATCCTGCTGGGTTGGTTCTTTTCCTGGAAAGGCCCATAGAAAGCCTGTCTTAATGGCTGATTTGTGTGCATCCTCCCTTTAAGCAGAAGTGTTGTGTCACCTCTAGATAATGTATCATGCTCTTGACAAACACATTTTATCTGATGACACCAAACCAGAAACCATCAATCATATGTCTAAATACACCAGAGAGAACTCTGGCAGACTACAAGCTGCAAGCTTTCTGCTGTCGTGCACCCCATTTCAAGTACATCCAAATTGCTCTATGGCTTGGAATATTAACCAAATATGCACATAAATGATAGCCCATCAGCAAATACATTATTATAACAATAAAAATTTAACTAGATAAGCTGCAGGATTTCATCTCTGCAATCTGAAGAGTTGCCTCTTTCCCCCCCTTCACTGATGCTGCAAAGAGGTTTTTGTATGTCCATTTTCTTTAATAAAAACTGCTGAGTTTTTTTTTTGGTTTCCAGCATTGTGTGATCCCCTGGGTACATAGGACCCTTCTGCAGAAAAACCCACGGTGCTTTGAGCCAGCATCCCTGCTGTGAGCCAGGCTGCAGACCCTGCCACTGTCACCAGCACACTGCTCCTGAGGGACCCAAACCAGACACCAGCTGGTGGCACAGCCACCAGGAGTTCTCAGTACCTCCATCTACCCATCAGCCCAGCTCCTGGTAAGAGGTTATTATCCTAGAGTCACTTACAGGACCTAATTGAAGAGGACAGTGCTATTTGGTCCAGTGCTAAGCTGCAGCAATGGAAACCTCTTTCTGCACGTCAGGGACCGCACGGGCTCTCTGGTAGCACAGGTCCTCCCTTTCTTTTAGCAWGCATGTGAAATCACTAGAAAATACCACAGCTACTGAGAAAGCCAAGTAAGCCATTTATCTCCCTCTCCACTGCTGCAGGGGCTGCCACTTCCCAAATATAAGCATGCTGCTGCAGAGAGGCTCCACGATGCTGGGAGGCAAGAGGGTGGTTTCACAAACCAGCATAATGTGAGTGAGCAGAGCAAAACTGGAGTGGAGACGTTTAATTCAGCTCAGCTGTTCCAGGAGATGATGCCCTGAGGTTCCAAGGCTGCAGACTGCCCAGAGCCTCAGTGGTGGCAGTTCCACTCTGGTCAAGGTAGTGTACCAGAGTCCAGGATACGCCTGGTTGTTTCACAAGTCCATGCCAGCAGAAACTGGGAGCTGACGATCCAACCTAGCCAGTGCTTGCAAACATGCCCCTTCTTTCTCTCCACCTTGCTTCCTCCATCCTGATCTGCCCAGCAATGACCACTGATTTGCCCTGAAAGCTGCTGGGTTGCAACATCTCTTCGATGAAAGAACAGAACTGCACGCATCACTCAGTGGTGTGTGGCAGCATGAGTCATTCTGTGGGATGTGGAGATTTCCGTCATGAACAAGGAGACAGAAAATGGACATCGGGCTGGGGCAGCACCACAGCCCACCTCCATCCTTAGGAAGAACAGCATTCACCCAAGCTGTTTTCTATTCCTGCACCCTATCCAGAAAAGCATAAAATCACAAATTTACGTGGCACTGACTTCACGCACTTAGAGACCATCAAGCAGTTGCCCAAGCCCTTGAYAAACATTCCTACTGCATTAGTTATTAAATTCCCTGCAAGGCTGCGTATCAGGTCTGGTCTTTCTAGACAGAAAGTCTGGGAAGAGGAAATCAGATGATTCAAGGCTTGAAATTATGGTTTAGGCCCATCTGCCTCATGTGCTTGGCACACTCTGCCAAGCATCCTACTTCCCTTTTGTAGCAGCTGGGTCAATAATCTCACAGACAGATATCCATCCATGAGGTAAAAGGACATGGATGAAAGTCAGATATGTCTGAGTGAGAGAAAACAAAAACCTGTATACAAAGTCATATGATTAAATAGATAGAAATGCATATTTGACACTTTTTCTTAGGTATGGTATGTGCTCTGGTCTTAACGTGTCATATTCTGGTGATGTCACATGCTGTGCATTTACCAGAGAATAACACTGGGTTAAATGACATGGCATTTAGTGCCTATGTTGAAACTAAACCAGTCTGCATCTCCTTTTTTTTTTTTTTTTTTTTTCTCCTTGGCAGCTAGGCTCCCACCACTTCCCCTCTCTGCAGCAGCCCAAGAATAGCCCATTTCCTAGGACTTTGTGTTCAGTGGGAATCTCCCATTTGTAATAAGAAGACTTCACTGAATATTCCTGGAATTTTCACCAGCTCTCCATGCCACTGCTGAATCTCTTTGAACCTGGGCAAACTTAGTGCAGCTGAGGCAAAACTCAATTCTTTCTTTGTATTCTGGGCAGAACTTCCTGCTAAAATAAGTATTTGTAAGAAAGAATGATGATGAASTTGAAACCAAATTTTCACAGGAGAGAAACTTGCTTTATTTAAAAAATCCTGAAGAACAGTAGGGACTATACAAGGTCTGAAGGAAACTTCAGAGAGAAGGAAGCTTCACCATCTCAGGAAAACTGCAGTGTTCTTGGGACCACAGTTAATTGAAATTAGTTACACGGCAGGACTTGAAGATGCAGGAGAGCTGTTTGCCCACAAAAAGCCCACACAGACCCCYCCAATTCTGTCCTCTTCACCCAGCTCCAGGCAACTTCACCCACTGCAGCCCCCCAGGACTTGGTCCCTACYCATAGCAGCGGGGCTCCAGCTTGAGAGCAGCCCTGGCTGACCACAGGAGGGACCCTGGTCATGAAAGGAGGTCTCAGTCATCAAATCAAAATGCGTATTGCCACAGGGTGTTAGTTGGTAGTATTGAGTAATAGTAYTGCCCAGCATATTAGTCCTTGTATTATCTGAAATCTATAAAAAACTCACTCTGGAATATCACAGAGTAGGACCATGTGACGGTCAGGATACTGCCACAATGGCACACAAAATTCCATGCTCAGAAGACCATTTCTAAAGCCAAAGCCAGGCTAAGCAGGCATGCACTTAAAACCAAAGATTATCTCTCCAAAGATCAGCTCACCATATGCCATCCGGAACTTTCCTCAGCTCCCTTCTATCCCTTAAACAAATGTTTATTTTCTCTTACCGTTCTGGACAACACTGATCAGGGTGACGATGGCAAGCAGGACAATGCTTCCCAGGGTCTCCTGGTCCATTTTGGGAACGGGCTACCAGGGTGGACAGTGCAGTGTCAGTGGCAACTCAGTGCTGCAAGCACAGAAGGAGGAAGTGAAGGTCTTATCTTGAATCATGAAGCACTTCCTATGGCTTCACAGGAGAGTGGCAGCACCCTGCGCTCTGGTGCCTGTCAGACCAATAACTGMAGGCTCACTTACTGTACACAGATGAAGCCCAGGGAAACAAGAGATTATGTGTCTGTGATCCAAGAGTAYACATAATGTGGAAAGATAATTATTGCCTTTCCTACACAGGAGCAAAATAGCAACCTGGACATCGAAAACATGTCTGAGCATTTGGCCAGCTGTGTGGAACAGCAGAAAGCTGGAAGAAACGAGTCAGGCCACTGTGGCATTGTTGGTAAGTGCCTGACCACGCCACAAGCAGCTGGCAGAAGAAATAATGTTGGAGAGTCTGAGCAAAGCTGTTGCTCTCAGGCAGATGCTCTCCCTTGTCACATTTCCACCAGTGTCACCAGTGAGGAGACCCCAGACCTGCCTGGCACAAGCCAAAGCTCCTGATCCCCCTGGCATGTTGGAAGAGGCAGGGCACTAATGCCATGACAGTCGCTGGTGAGCACAGAAATGTTTTTCATTACCAGGTATGGATCCTGCATCMTTTCCCTTACGAGTAAATCCTTGAAAGTCAGCCACAGCTATGAACACTCAATGTTTCACAGGCTCAGACTTCACAGTTGTGCCCCTTTCCAGTGCTTGAGGGCCAATATAGCTGAGCACAATTGATGCAGCGTGCTCACAGCTGAGACCCGAGCTTGATGCAACTGGCACAGAAGTACAGGCTTCMGTGATGGACACAGCAGTGGGATGGCTTTGGTTGAACASCAGGTGCCCACTAAAGCCACTCTTGTCTCTCCCCTCCTCAGCTGCTCAGGGGAGACAAAATAGAGCAAAAGGCTAAAGGGTTGAGATAAGGGCAGGGAGAGAGCACCCAGCAGTCACTGTCACAGGCAAATCAGACTTGACTTGGGGAAAATAACTGAATTAATTGCCAATGAAAATCAGAGTAGGATGATGAGACCTAAAACAACATCTTAAAACACCTTTACCCACCCACTTCCCCACACTCCCACCCCTCCTTCCCTGGTTTAACTTAATTTGCAATTTATCTCCCTGCTTCCTCCAGCAGCACAGGGAAATGAGGAATGAGAGTTAAGTCAGCTTGTCACACATTGTCTTTGCCCCTTCTTCATCCTCAGCAGGAGGACTTCTCACACTCTTCTCTGTTCCAGCGTGGGGTGCCTCCCATAGGAGACAGTCCTCTATGAACTTTTCCAACAAGAATTCTTCCCATGAACTGCAGTTCTTCATGAACTTCTTCAGTGTAGATCTGCTGTAGGGTCACAAGTCCTGCCTGCTCCAGTGTAGGTTCCTCTCTCCATGGGGCTACAAGTCCTGACAGGATCCTGCTCCAGCAGGGGTTTTCCATGAAGCCACAGCCTCCTGTGGGTATCCATCTGCTCCAATGCCTGGAGCACCTGCTCCCCTCATTCCTCTTGGCGTCTGCAGAGGTGCTGCTCTCACATATTCTCACTCCTCCTTCCAGCTGCAATTTTCTTCTGTGCAATGATTTTCCCCCTTCTTAAATCTTGTCCCAGAGGTGCTGCCAGCATCACTGATGGGCTCGAGCTTGACTAGCAGTGTGTCTGCTTGGAGCCTGCTGGCATTGGCTCTGTTGGACATGGGGGAAGCTTCTGAGAGATTTTCACAGAAGCCACTCCAGTAGCCCTCCACTACCAAAACCTTGCCATACAAACTCAAGACAGGTAGCTGCAGAAAGTCCTGCACAGCAAGGACAAGATGCACAGCTTCTGTCAGATGACTGGAAAGCATCCTCATTCAAAATGTACATCTCTTGCTGAGCATAACTACTCTGCTACCTTTTGCCYATATCTGATGGGGAAAAGACTTATGAAGAATGCTTCCCCTTAGTAGGAATTTAATACTAATAAAAAGTAGTATTTCCACTGGACTTGGCCCTGTACAACTTCTGCCCCATCTCCCTGTCTGTCTCCACCATGTGCTGTTCAAGAGGTCTGAGTGCTGCCCAACATCCAAAGCATGGCCAGAAAACTGGTTACCTCGCTCTGGATGGGACACAACCAGGTGGGAGTTGCCTGCAGCAGCCAACCTGCAAAACCCATATTTTATAATGGGGACATATTTGCTTACAACAGTGCTTTTATCCAGTCTCTCTGTCATGCAAATTTTTTATAATCTTTATTTTTAGATATGAAAAACTCTCATATACTTTGAGTATAAAAAAAATACACAGAAATGAACTGGCTGAGAGATAGGTGTTTAACACTGTGAGTTGTGACAGACTGTTGCCTTTACAGGAAAAGGGTGTCTTTCTGGGATACCTTCCCTACAGCCCAACTGTGTGAGAAGCAAGGCCATAAAGAGCATTTAGGATTAAATTTGGCCTGTGATATTTTCTTCAGATTTTTGACTTATGCCAGATTTGCTTTAGGAAAAAAACCCAAATCCAAGAACAAATAGAGAAGCACATCAGCTCTTTGAGAATGATTTTATTCAGGCTAAAGTTCTCTTTTTCCCCAGAATACGAAAAATATCAGTGGTCTATTGAGCACAGGATTTTAGCTGATATTTAGGGATGGCATTTAGTGCCAAGCATATACTAATCTTCTGAGAAGAAAAACCTGTCACCTAAAAGCCGTTATGGAATTAAGTCAAATAAGGAATATTGCCTAAGCAGAGATCAATGTGACTGTGAAGAAAGGAACTGTGCCTGGGCATGGACTGACAGGAGGGAGCTGCCAGACAGGAGAGGGTGAAGGGGGCAGCACAGGTCYTCGGGGCATCTGTGGTAGGGAGGATTCCCAGACATCCTCCTGAAGCAGGCATTGAGCTTTCTCCTCCTGCTRCCTGCAGCTTGGTTTTGATTTACAAGTGGCAGTACAAGCACATGAGCCTGCTCCAGCTTGCCAAGAAAACACCTCCCCRTGATCAAAGACTTCCCAGGGGCGGCTTCTATTCAGCTCTCATATACAAGGAGGTAGGAATCAGGCTGCTGAGGTGTGGAGTTGCCATAACGCAAAAAGCCCCACAACACACCAGGAGTTAATGCCAGCAGGCTTTCCAGCTGACTGACCCAAGCTCCCTTCCCCTCTCCCTGTGTGCTGGCCAGATCATGAAAACTGAGCTGTGGATGCCTTTGCTTTCTCCTTGTCCTGCTCTTTGTTTTCCAGCTCTTTGCTTTGCTGCTGCTCAGTGCCTCTCACCACACACTCATCCCTGCTTTGCTCCTCTGCTCTTCCCCTTCTGACTTCCCCCTGTCCCCTGGCACCACTTTGGCATTTTGGCATTTGACATCCCCAGCATTTTCTGGAAACCCAGCTGGTTCCCTCCTCTTACCCAGGTTTGCTCCAAAGCCATCCCACATGTATGTCTGGAGGAAAGCAGGGTTTCACACTCCTCCCTGCAGTGAAAAAACATGACATCAACTCCAGGGCTTGTTAAAATGATTTCTTGGTGTGTAGGGAGAAAAAGGCTTTGCCAGCAAGAAACTCCTGGGTATGTCTGTCTTAAGAAATGAACTGCAGAGTTTTGTTTTGTTGGTTTTTGTTTGTTTTGTTTTGTTTTGTTGTTTTTGTTTTTTTTTTTTAAGTGCAGCATCACTCTGAGGGCACCGCTAGAGGAAAAACAAGGAAATCAAGATGTTGTGTAAGACATGAAAGAAGTCCCTTCACCATGGCAAGGCAACACTGTTGTACAGCCAGACAGAGCAGAAACCCTTAGTGTAGAGGATTATCACCCTTTCATACCCCTTGGCACTGGAATAGCTCCAGGGTACAAGGTGATTCTGGCAAATTTTTTGCCATTTGGGGAATTGCCTTGGCAAGGAAGGGCTAAGTTGGGGCTAAAATAACTCTGCAAACCGTTTCTTCCATATCTATATGTTAAACTGTTCCCTTTCGCTGAAATCTAAACATACTCACTGGATCACTGTCTGGATAAGACAGAGTTGGCACCAGTGGAAAACCCCGTTCACCTGGAAGAAAGATCAGTGAAAGACTGACCCATCATATCTCACTTACATATGGGAAACAAGGGATTTTCCAAGCAGACAAAACCAGAAAAGGGCATGTGGGGGGAGGGAGCACTGCCTGCACCTTCTGCAACCCCTAGCTGTGGTTGGACCTATTCRGGCACAGGCAATTCTGTGCTTCAGCAGCTGCTGTCAGACCCCAGCACTTCTCCGTTTAACATCCACATCGTCTTGTCTGAGGAAGAAAACCTTGACACAGTGAACCATGAAGCTTTGCACGGAAATGTGCAAAGCCAGAGAGCTTTTCCAGTTGCACTGCGAGGTTTCCTACACATTAATCTCCTCCTCTAGAAACTTGAGCAGCCAGTCAAAATAATCCCTCTGTAGAATTGCTTTCACAGTGAAGAGAAAAGGACTGGGAACACAGATCTATAAATATCTTTTGGGATGTTCATCTCTCCTCTCCCCTCGTGCACTCTGATCAGTGCTCAGCAGCACGGACGCCAACGAAAGCATRTCTCCTGATAAAATAAAAGCTTCTGGTGTGAAGCTCCCGTGTATGAATGCCAGGTGACACCCAGCTGTCATGCTTTATCACAAATGACGTGGGACACGAGCCCCTTGCACTGGCTGGTTAATATCAGCCCTCGGCTTTGCCAATTAGGAGTGCTACAGCGCCATCAAACGCAGCRCGCACACGTGTGGGTGACTACCTGCTGTCATGTCAACCTGCTCCAGCAGCACATCCTTGCTGAACCCAGACAAAACCCCAGCAGAGCATATGAAAGGAGCTGGAAATGTGAAGTGTAGCACGAAGAAAAGGGCAGTGCTGCGGTTTTTAAGATGCTGTCTTTATTTTGCACAGCCAAGGGGATRACGTTGTGGAAGCAGACAGAGGACTGCCTCAAAAACCCCTCCTTCTCCACATTTCACAGGTTTCTTCCTTTCACTTACTGACTTCATACTTCATTTGTACAAATTCAGCTCAGAACASAGAGCTGGAAGGAAGAACCTGTAGTCCCTTCYGGGCCCACTGGCACAGCCTCCTCCTCCTCACCCTCTGTGTCTCAYTGTCACGGTTCAACCCCA